TCAACAAGCCTTTTATGGTTGAGATTGATACCATAGTACACTATTAATAGTACGCTACTAATATACAGGACACATGAAGTACCTGAAGTGCCAAAAAATGACTTGAGTCAAAAGCGGGAAGTCGAAACTTGGAATAAAGTCATTTTTCAACCTCCGTGCATTCAAGATACAAAGTGGGGGGCGGGGGTAATGGTTAGCAAATATATTGTTAGCAACAATCTAGCCAGCTAACTGTGTGAACTATTAGTCAGGGTTATAAATTCATCAAGCAAATATGTCTGTATGTTAATTGATCTAGAGCCAATACTACATATATACAGCATAACTGATTTAAAGTTAAGAAGTCCTACTGTGTTAACTGTTGATGCTGTGAGCAGCCGAGTTGATTTGATGTCACTTGCTGACAGTTCAGGAGACCTTCCCAGGTCGAGGTTGTGTTTTCCTTGTTTTTCCCTAGTAGTAGGTCACAAATTCCAAGTTATGAGTTTAAGTCAAATGCAGCATAAGTAGCAGAAGAGGCTAAGCCATCAGAGGCCAGTCTGAAATCTTCAAAATGGCCAACACACCAAGTAAGAAACACTACTACACCTGAAACAACATTTGAAGCACACAGTTTAGGGAGGATAATTTCAGGTTTAAAATTGTTGGTAGTTTCTGTGGAGGCTGTTCTGGATGCTCAAGAATGGAAGATACTATATACTACATGGTCAAGTATATAATATGCATACAGGTAGCTCTCAGTCTGAGAGAGAGCACAACAGTAAAGAAAACCTGGAACCAGTAGAAAACAGGAAACAGGAAACAGGAAATAAACAAGAGGCCTCTATGACAACAACCCTGCATCAACAGTACACTCCAAAGCCAGTCTCACCCAACTTTCACACTTTTCTTGTCACAGACACCACATACACCTCAGTAAGACAAATCAGAATCCTGTTTCATGTTCAGTATTTTTAAATGGAAACTCAGTAATTATAGTATGAGTAACACCATTTGATTTAACCTATTATCCAACTAAACACTAAACCACTTGTGCTGGTCATACAAATGGAATATTTAGTCTCAGGTTCGATAGCTAACTAAACATTTACAGCTAGCTTACAAATACTGCTGCATGGTGTTGTTGGTGATCTGCTTATTCAGTCAGACTTAAATGCAGGTTGTGGACAGAAAGTCAGTGGGCAAAGGTCTCTGATAGACAACAGTCCACACAGATTACATTAGTGATTAGAACAGCTAGGCTTGACATCTATTTAGCGTCTTTTTCCACTTTTTCACACGGTGGGAGGTTTTAATACCTAATGAACATTATTGCAGTGTGAATTTCACTGGATATTTTATCGGTATATCCTGGTGCATGAAATATTTGATTTGAGCGGTTTTATATGAACACTTCAGCATATACACTATATTACCAAAAGTATTCGGTCACCCATCCAAATGATCAGAATCAGGTGTCCTAATCACTTGGCCTG